GGGCAGTTGGGGTTGTTTTTTTGTGAAAATAGGGTTTAGGGTTTGGGGTTTAGGAAGTTAGGGTTTAGGGTATAGGGTTTAGGGAAGTTAGGGTTCAGGGAAGTTGGGTTTTTTTTGTGAAGTTAGGGTTTACGGTTCAGGGAAGTTGGGGTTTAGGGGTTCGGGGAAGTTTTTTCCCTCCTACCTATCAAACACGAAGCCCGCATTGCAGGGAGTCTTGAGGAGGGAAGTTAGGGTTTAGGGTTGAGAGGTTTAGGGTTTAGGGTTTAAGGTTTAAGGAAGTTAGGGGTTTAGGGTTTAGGGGTTTAGGGATTTAGGGGTTTAGGGTTTAGGGGTTTAGGGGTTTAGGGGGGTTTAGGGGTTTAGGGTTCAGGGAAGTTAGGGTTTAGGGTTTAGGGATTTCTTCGGGCTTTTGATGGTTTTAAGGGTTCTGGCATCCTTCTTTCTGAAGTAGTTCTTCATTGAAGGTTTAACATTTTAATTAAGGGTTATGGTTTAGGAGCAACCCTTCTTTCTGGGGATGTCTTCGGGCTTATTGAAGGTTTAGCATCTGAAGGGCTATGGTTTAGGGGCAAAGTTTCAAGGAGTTGGATTTAGGGCAAGGTTTCAGTTCAGGAAGTTGGGATTTTCATATTTGGGCTTTTAGCCCCAAAATAGCAGGATTCATAAAAGGAGCCCTAACAAAGGCCCAAGGTTTCTTAATCAATCAGGCTCCTACATTATGAGGATTTCAGGCTGCCGGCCGTGCAAGGTTATTAAGGTTTCGGGTGTGAGCTTTGCTGGGTTGTAATTTTGGGTCCCCAAATAGTGTTTCCGAATAAGCTCCTCTACAAGACCGTAAGGGAAACCCTAAACCCTAAACCTATATAACAGCTTCCCGAAGTGCAACCGAGTTTAGGGCTTTTAAGATGTGGTGTCAAAGGCTCAGAACACAGAACCCTCGGTCTGCAGGAGCTCGAAGCTTGTCAGGTTAGCCGAAACGGTCGTTTTTATGTAGGGCCCATATTGCTGTAGTAAGCTTAAGGAGGGATTTGAATGTCCGGTTTGGGGTTTAGGGCGGGCTTTGGGAGTTTTAGGGCTACGGGCACGTTCGACGACTACATGAGGGCATGAGCCCGACTTCCATAACATAAGGGGCCTTAATAATCAGAACAGAGTTTTGAGGTATATTTACCCTAATGAGTGATAACAGTATAAGGAACCTCGAAAAAATGTGCGGGTAGCTATCAAGGCCCCTATTACAGTAGCCCTCCAGTCGCCGTCGCCTGGCGCACACTCGGAAAGAGCCAATCCAAGGTTCCAGGTACTGCGAGCCCGCCCGGGCCATCCGCCATGCTGTGCTTCTGAACTCGGATTGCTGTATCCCTAAGTCCGAGCTGAGTTCTGGCATCGCTTGCCTAATGCTCTTCTGCAGATATATAAAGGGTATATACTCTTATCATCTCTGTCTTTTCTGCATGTATATTTAAGTATATATATACACACATAAACACATATAAGCCAGTATGCTAAGGTCATCTAAGTCCTGTCGCTTGCCTTGTATTTCCCTTACTAAAACCCTTTTTTCGTTCCGGCTGCGAGTAGGTCTCGCGGGCCGCCGCCCCACTTGGGAGCAAACCTTCTGAGCAGGAGGTAGCAGCACCTAGGGTTTAGGGTTTAGGGTTTAGGGTTTAGGGTTTAAGGTTTAGGGGTGTAAACCCTTCATGTCTTTTTTGCTTGAGGGTTGAGGATTACGGCTTAGGGTTTCGCGGCCGCTGACAAAACCCCATGTTTTTCATTGCCTCCAGGGTTTGGAGGGCTTTAGAAGGGGGATTTGTAATCCTTTTTATTGTGATTGTTGAAGTGTTTCCCAAAAGCGCAGTTTAAAACCTAGACTTTGAACAGTGAGCCCCGAACCCGAAATCCGGATGATGCTCTTTTCCCCCCTGTCAAAAGCCGCTGCTGCGCTCGGGCAACATCGAGAATTTGACCTGGCTATGGGGTTTAGGATTTAGGCTTTACTTCGAGGTTTATAGGTAGTTATGAGTTGGGTTACTAAGTAAGGTTCGCGTTTGAAGGATGAGTGTACGGCCAGGGTTGATGTAGGCCAGTACCCTAAACCGTGGCGTTAGAGACTTCGAAGAGGTTCTTCGAAAGGAGTCATATGGCGTTTTGGGAGGTTTAAACGTTCCACTCCTTCACTCCACTGCTTCATTCAGCAATCTTCCTCGAAGTATCCTCGAGCATGTCACAATGATTTCAAGCATAGCCCTTGATTGAGTGGCATCGAGCTCCCTGGGTTACCCAACAAGGGTTCGAATCTCATGGGCCCAGGTAATGTAAGAACCTTTAAAAAGATCTATAAGGGATCTTTCAGGGTACTCTAGGGGTGTAGGGGTTAGGGCTTTAGGGGTTTAATGTAGGAACCGGATTAAGAAACCTCGGGCCTTTATTAGGGTTGCTTATATGAACCCTACTATCTTGGGGTTATAGGCCCAGGGTTTCTTAATCAGGATCCTACATGAACCCCTAAAAGTTTTGAACCGAAGCTTCTGGAAAACACCTAGATATGACACTTTCGAGTTGTAGGTTAGGGCTCTGTGACGGTGTTCCATGCGAGTTCCAACACAAGGTTCGTGAGGGTTCTATACCGGTCTCTTCAGTGGTCTCTTCAAGGCGGGTTGCTTTAAAAGGTTACAGCGTGTATTCGGCGATCAGAACAATTGCTGAAGACAGTGCCTGTGCCTAACCGAGAAACCTGTGTCTGCCAATGTATTGCTAAACCCTGAACCCGAAAGGGTTGAACCCTTACAGATCTGCATGCGATGATCCTTGTTACATCTATCTAACCTCCGCTCGAATGACACCCCTCCAGATGCAGCAATGTCAACACGTCCAAGCCACAGCAAAACAAGAGTCATGAGCTGATGCTGCTGTAGCGAAACACACTTTTAGTAGGAGGAGTCGTGAATCTAGCAGTAGCATCCCCAGTGATCATACATCACCTGAGAACTATTCGAACTGTCTTCATGCGCGTCTGAGGCCCCTCGCCCGTCCATCCTTCTGCACCAGAAGCACGCGCACCGTTACCTCGGCCAGCACGCAAACCCTAAACCCTAAACCCCAAGTGGGTGGTTGTCAAAACTAGGGTCCCTTTTTGGGTGCCCTAAATAAGAGGTGCCGTATTATAAGAGGGACCCAAAAAGGGACCCTAATGTTGACAATCACCCAAGTCCAGATAAGAGGATTTTTTGAACGAGGTCTCTCCGAAGTGCCTCAATAAGCCGGCCACAGCCGTGCTCCGCACGAAGAGGACTTTTTTGCAGCAGGCCTCGTGGTCCAGCAGCCCGGTTACAGCAACAGCCCCCTTTCCCACGGCTCAAGCCATTTTGCTACGAGGCCCAAGCCGGGCAAGCCAATTAGGTGCAGAGATTAAGAGGTCGGGTGCTGCTACTACAATGGTTTCCGAGAAAAAGCGACTGGCTTCGAGCATTGCCTTTTCCCTCAGAAGATCAAGATCCTTGCAGCTTCAAAGTGTCACGGACATCTTGTCGTGTGCTTTGCATACACTGGTGGGTATGGAGGAGCCGGAGCTTTCAACACAATGCGGGACTATTGGATCACGGAAAAGGATAATCAGCTTGTACGCAACGCTTAAGCCCGACTGCCATGACGCATGTTCTCAAACCACTGCCAAAATGGCGACTGAAAGCGAGGTTGAGGTTTTCGGTCGTCAGCTTGTTGAGCAGGCCAAGCTGGCGGCTGAAAGCAAGGTTGAGGCCTTTGGTCGCCAGCTTGTTGAGCAGGCCGAGGCAGAGCTTCACAACATGCGTACGCTTCTGGACGAGCGAGCTGCGACCATCAAGGAGTTGGAGGCTAAGCTGTCCCACACTCAGCCAAGCACGTCAGCCCAAGATGTGAGACCCCTTGTCAATGATCAACAGGTTTTGATTGCACAAACTGCCAAAAGGCAGCGATTGACTGGGAAAGACACACAGAACGCCGACCTTCAGCAGCTACAATCCTCGGGCCACGTGTACATCAGACCTGCCGTTGACTTCGAAACCTTGAGAAGGCGACATCATGATGAGCGACTTGCACAGAAGGCAGCACGTAGGCTTGCAAGGCAAAATTCAGAACCCAAAGGACCTGGTGTATAGATCGGTCTTTTCTCGTACAAGTTTCTTTTCGTGAGTCCTGTCAGGGATAGGAGCTTAGTAATGCGCCTGCAGAAGTGGGTGAACATGAACGGATTGTCGTCGCGAGAGTCAGCTCGTCTCCTCTCCTTGCACGAAGAGGACTAAACCCTGAACCCCAAGCCCTACGGTTGTTATGATATAAATCCTGCATTACCCATAATAAGGAATATACCAAAATTCCATGCTTGAGGGTCCTTAAGGTCATGCAGGATTTATATCATCAACCGTAGGAAACTGCCGGGGGCGAAAATCCGGTGCTGACAATTAAGAGGTTTTTTTGCAACTGGCTTGCAACGTCACGCCAGGACAGCTGTCTCGCTCCACACTGCAATCGTGACAGCATTAAGGGGATTAAACCCTGAACCCGACGTCCTGTTTAACTGCAGCGGGCGAATATCCGATGCTGATGCTAACAGAATCGGGAAGTTTCTGCCGGGATCAGCGACTGCTTGTTCCTCAGGGCATCGTCGCCACCGCAAGAGCCAGGAACAAAATCCCAAATTCGAGACCTTGCCGGCTCTGGGTTACGACAAGCGCAAGGACCCAAAAAGAATGGTATATAAGCTGCAGGCTTGATGGTTCATGGTGGTGTTTGAAGAAACACCACACCAAAACCTAAACCCCCCCCTCACCCCCCTTCAAAAAAAAACAATGACAAGCCATGAAGCCATCAAGCCGAAAACCCCTGCAAAGCGAAAGAAGAGCGTGGGAAAAACCTTCTGGCACGCAAAAATCTTAAAACAATATGAGTGCGACCCTGTTGGTGTTGTCAATGTTGGAACAAGCTAAAACCCAACGAACACCGCTAACAACGCACAGCTCTTAAACAAAAATACAGATGCTTGCATCTTGGCCAGGCGCCTCCTCCCCTATCTCGGCCTGTGCGTGGATGGGGGGCTTTAGGGATTAGAGCGGTTTAGGGGTTTGGTCTCTCTCTCTCCACGTCCCATCGGTAGGTCGTTTAGGGCTTTAGGATTGAGGGCTTTTGGCTTAGGGTTTGGGAGTTTAGGTGTCTCGAGTTTAGGGTTTGGGGTTTGGGGCTTAGGGTTTAGGAGGCTTGTGGATAGCACTGAACAGTTTCGACTCCCACAGCTTGGGCAATTCGGGCGAGGCATCTCTGTGCATGGGTCCTACGACCTGGAGATTCAGGGGTAGCTATAAGTAGGGTTATAAGCAAGGTAACGATACTTATAGCCCATATTAGGGGACTTATAACCCCACTTATAACTAGCCGTGAACCTCCAAGTACTAGGGGTTAGGACCAGGGTTTACCTTAAACCCTAAACCCAAGGGGGCTGTTGGCGATCTTGAAATTACAGGTTCTCTTGAAATTGTCGGCCTCCTGGGACCGGTATGGGTGTTGATTCCAGACGCCAGGAGCATACGTGGCTTGAAATGCATCGCGGGTTTTAAGGCTTTAGGGTTTTAGTGCTACCTACTTCTGTGGCATTTCTGGTGGTACTTCAGTGTTTGAAGGTTGAGGTGGCCGGCTGGAATCGGGGTCTTGGCTAAGAGTCACTGAACAAAAATTTACTCTCCCTACACAATAACTACTAGCTCCTAGAAGCACGCAAATCCCAAAGCCAAGCCCCAAAGCCTTAAAACCTAATGTAGGGGAACTTGATTCTGGGGTTTGGGGGGTCTATTATACCATAAATATACCAAGGAACCCGGAAAATAGTATAGGTAATTCTAATTATTTAAGCCCCTATATACAAGAGCCCAAAGTCTCATAGCCTTCAAAAGCCCAAACTCTGAAGCCCTCAGCCCTAAAACAAAACCCCAAAGTCCCAAAACCTCCAAGAGCCCCAAAAACCCTCAAAACCCCGAAGCCCCAAAACCCCCTAAACCTCCAAAACCTCCAAAATCCCAAACCTGAAACCTCTAGAGCTCCAAACCCTAAAAACCCAAACCCCGAAAACAAATGTCCTAAACCCTGAACCCTAAACCCCAAGCCCTGAAAGCCGTGGCTTCCAAGCCGCAAAACCGTCAGCTCGAAAGCCCTGCTCCACTGGGAGGGTCGGGGGACGTAGTAAGTAGAGTTATAAGTACCCCAAAGGAATCCTAATCGATACTTGAAACTCTACATGATAACAACTTACTAATTCCCCCGACCCTCCACGTAACCCTACGACACCCATCGAGGTAGCCTCAGCGTGAATGTCGCTCACATGGCCCTGCTTCGAATCTTGCTGAGCTTCGGCTTTGGGGTTTAGGGTTTAGGGTTTAGGGTTTAGGGTTTAGGGTTTAGGGTTTAGGGTTTAAGGTTTCGTGCTTGTCGTTTCAAGGGCCCTTTTTCAGACAGGGTTTCGCGGTTTTGGGTTTGGTGGTTTGCTGGTTTAATAAGTGCTCGGCAGTGTCGGTATCGTGGGCTTGGGGGTTCGGGCTTTGAGGGTTCAGGGTTTAGGTTTTTTAAATTTTTTTGGCCTTGCTGCAAGGTGGAGGTTGCGGGGCAGTGGGCTTTCGTTTTGGCTTTTAGGGTTCAGGGATTAGGGAGGGTCGTGGGATGTGTGCCCTGAGGAGTCAGACAGGCGTACAGTCAGGGTAACTACAGCCCGGACACAGGGGCGACTACGCACAAACCCCAAAACCTATGCAATGTGTTGAACAAGCGAAGAAAGGCCCTCAAAGTAAAACTACCCGTGACGATCGGCTCCCTTTCATTGCGAAAGCTTTCTGGCTTGGGTTTCCTTGGCGTGAGGGGGCTGTAGGGTTAGATTGGTGTTGTTCAGGGTTGTGGGCTTGCCTTTGAGGCTTAGGGTTTCGGGTTAAGATAGTTTGACAAGTTACTGCTTTTTTTGCAGTTTAAGGTTAGGGGTTAAGGTCAGTGTAGATAGAAAGTTTCGGGGCTTACAGTCGCTGAAGGGGCTTTGGATTTCGGGTCAGCGGGCACAAAGCTTACGGCATTTAAGGCGGAGCGTTTCGCGTTTCGTTCTCCAAAAGGACCTATGTAAAAGTTGGGCTGGGGCAGCCTTCAGAGGAACGATGCTGGTCCTTCTCACCAAGCCCGTCCAGCATCAAGCATCAGTGGCCCGTCCTTCCGTGCACTGTAATCATACCCAGAGAGCCCAATACCCCTCAATTAAGGAATATGGATTGATTCATATAGGGCTTCGTATTATGGTTTAAGCTATATTCCTTAATTGAAGGATCTTGGGCTCTCTGAGTTATCCATCCATCGCTCGGCGACTCTGGCCTTTCAGCAACGAGCATCAGCCGTCCCCCCCCGGCTTCTCGAGCATCAGCCCTGTACTTTTCCAAGAAAGGAATATAGCTTAAATGATGATCTCTCTCCTTCAATAACCGGGCCCAAAAAGGTTTAAACTTTTTAAGACAGACTACATATATAAGGCCAAAAAGTTTAAAGTTCCCCCATTGGCTATCTAAGTAATATGAAGCCCTATATGATTCAAGCCGTATTCCTTAATTGAGTGGTATTGAGCCTCAACCTCTTGCCGGTGCATTGACAGTCCGTGTTTGTCTCAGCTCAAACCCCGCATCATGAGCATCAGCAGTCCATCCTTTGCGGCCGCTTCCGTGTCCCAGCACCAGACCTTGCGCGCAATGCTTTTGTATGGTCCGCTCAAGCAACGCATTCTCCCTGTAATGCTTTCGCACAGTCTACAGCAGCCCCAAGGCAGCCTAACCATGTCCAGCACCAGCCCGCCCAGCATCATGAGCATCAGCTGCCACACCGGTTTTGGTGCCCCCAGGCATCCCAGAGCATCATCAGCATCAGCGGTCCGTCTTTTGCTGCAGCAGCCCCCATGTACCATTCCCAGCACCTCCACGCCTTGTGTAGCATATCCAACCATCCCAAAGCATCATGAACATCAGCGCTCCTCCATTTTCTACAGCCACCCAGCATTGCAGGCATCCTGTCAGCCATCCCAAAGCATCATGACCATCAGCGGCCCCCTTTCTGCAGCCGCCCTACCAACAAAAGCATCACGACCATCACCTGCCATACCTTTTGCGGCATGTCCAGCCATGCCATAGCATCATGAGCATCAGCGGCCCGTCCTTTTCTGCATCAGCCCTCACGCTCCCTCCCCAGCACCAGTCCACCCAGCATCACGAGCATCAGCTGCCACGCCCTTTACGGCGCCTCCACCCATCCCAAAGCATCACGAGCATCAGGTGCACGCCCTTTTCTATAACAACCTTAATCTACCATGCCCGCCAACCCATCACGAGCATCAGCTCCCATACCTTTTTGCAGCATATCCGAAGCATGATAAGAATCAGCCGCCGGTCTCTTTCTACAACAGCCCTAATCCATCATGACCCCCAGCATCACGAGCATCAGCTGCCACATATCCAGCCATCATAGATCAAGAACATCGCCCGTTCTGCGGCCCTCACGCACCCTTCGCAACACCAACCCCCAGCATCACGAGCATCAGCTGCCATACGTTTTTGCGGCATATCCAGCCATCACAGACCAAGAACATCGCCCGTCCTCTTCCGCAGCCCTCACGCACCCTTCGCAACACCAACCCCCAGCATCACGAGCATCAGCTGCCCCACGTTTGATCCTCCACAGCCATCCCAGAGCATTACTCAGCGCCCGCCCTTTTCTACAGCAGCCGGAATCAACAATGCCCAGCACCAACCCAGCGTAAGCGGTCCATCCCTTTTCTGAGCAACTCCGGCGAACCCTGCATCATCAGCATCAGTGGCCTGGCCTTTCGAGCATCAGCAAGCGGCACACCCTTCTGAGCCAACCACCCGGCAGTACGAGCTTGCGTAGCTTGTCGTCATTTTAAGTCTTCTGTCCATACCGAACCCTGAACCCTTTTTGCCCTAAACCCTAAACCCCAAAACCCTAAACCCTAAACCCTAAACCCGAAACCCTAAACCCCGAGAATCACTGTCCATCCCTTGCCCTGTCCACCGCACAGAACCACGAGATACAAGGACCCTCTGAGCCTCACGGCCTAGCTCTTTTATCGGCTCGCCCACCATCGCAAATACCACCGACCTGCCCTCCCTACGGTTGATAATATAAAAACCTGCATTACCTTAATGACCCTAAACTATGGGAATTATGGCATATTGCTTATTATGGGTAATGCAGGATTTATATCATCAACAGTATCTTCAGTACTGGTGTTTGATCACATTGATGTACCATGGCTCTTAGCTCGGGGCTGTGCAGGGCGCAGCGGACTCGAGAGATTCTCCCATCCCGCACTGGTCGAACCGCAGCCGCAGCTTTCAGATGCCGGAACCCTAAGCCTCTAAACCCTCTTTTCCCTCTCGCATGGCTGGCAACAATGTCCACTGGCGAGGTTACACAGGGTTTAGGGTTTGGGCTCCCTAAACTACACCTCCCAAGTGACACAAGCGCCAGGTAAGTATGTTCGTTCCTTATAGTCGCGAGAACCTAAAGTGCGCCCAATTACAGGCCAGCTCTTAAATAAAGAGCACTCAAGCCCCAAAACCTGCATCGCAAATGCCACGCCCCAAGCTCCCAAACCAAGACCATTCCGGCCTCTTTGATTTCCGAGATGTGCACCATGCCTCAAAGTTTGAGTAATCCTCAACCCTAAACCCTAGAACATAACTTAAGATTTGGATTCAAGGCTCAGGATAACGGCGGCTTTAGGGAAGCCCCGGAATTTTATACAGTTGATGATATAAATCCCGCATTACCCATAATAAGGAATATACCAAAATTCCCGTAGTCTAGGGTTCTTAAGGGCATTACCTTAAGGACCCTAGACTACGGGAATTATGGCATGTTCCGTGGTATGGGTACTGCAGGATCCATATATTCAACCGTACCATAACCCTCGGCATTTGACAAATACAGGCTCAGCATGACCCATCACCCTAAACCTCATTTCTATGACACCAAATCCTTCGTCGAAAAACCCAGACCCTAAAGCCCACACAAATATCTCAAGAACCATGACCCTCAACCCTAAGGGGCAAACTTTAGGGCTTTCCCGGATGTGTGTTTACACTTCGAACTACCCTGGTGAAGGCTGGGTTGTTTGAAACCCTTGCGTCTCGTCGAACCGCGAGTTTAGCGTTTTTGATGGTTTTGGGTATAGGGGAATTGAAACTTAGAACAAGGTGTAGGGTATGTTGTGCTGTAGTTGTCAGAAGAAGCCCTGAGGAATAGTATTGGAAATTACTGGATACGAATTTTAGAACCCTATCAGACGGGTGCCCTCCCAGAATTTTAGGGATAGTACAGAAGACTGAATACCTAGCAAAAGCGACCCCTTATCGCCCGTAAACACAAGCGAAATCCTCCATGCAGATCCGGAACGTATTCATTCATCTTCAACACCAACAGCCCCCCATCAATTGCACTCCCGGGACGGTTTTTTCGGATTTTCGGAACGGGAGCACTTTCGTCAGAGCGGGGTTTAAGCACCTCTTGATCGCCTACAGTGTGCATCCGGGTGGGCGATAGCCGTATCCTATAGCCTCGATCCCCTTCGGATCAGGGTAGTATAGGGGCCTTAGGGTGTTGGGGCCCATTACACTATATTAATAATAAGGGACCCCAAAGATAGTATTGGTAATTATTTAGGCCCTTATATTATCCTTCAGAGGAGTCGAACTCCACCACAAGTGAACCCAAGGTTTCCACCGATGGCGTGCCGACCCTGCCGCTGCTTGACATGATCTGCACTGACTCTGCACTGATGACAACAAGACATCGTAGCTCTAGAGCGTATTCCGAATGGCTTGCACGGAAATATACCTCCAAGTCGCATTCTATGAATGCTCGAAGCCCGTATATTAGGGTACCTAAGTTTTGGACTTGACATTGACGATCGTGGGCTACAACATCTGGTCCGTGCACTCGAAATGCATGTAGTGAAACCCCATGTGCCAAACACGAAATAACACGGTGTTAGAGTGCTTGCACTTTGGGGGATGGCTATCTCATAGGCTATCTTGACTGCTTGGGGCCGATTACCCCAGCCGAAAAAAGTTAAGCTTCCCAATTATGCTCGGATTCTACAAACTCCAAATGGTTAAGGTTACAAGTACCTACTCAGCTACTCGGGCTATCATTTATATCCGGAACGCCTAAATCCTGAACCCTAGACGCTACCCTAAACCTGCAGACCCCTGACCCTCGAATCCTATACCCCTCAACTCCCCGAACCCTGATTGCCGAAACGGCTAAACCTCTGAACCCTAAAGCCCTACACCCCAAACATTATATAATCCTGAACACCTGCGCCCCGTAACCGTGAACCCTCCTAAACCCCTGAACCCCTAACCTCCTAAATCTTACCTTTGGTTAGTAGGGAATGGAAGAATGGTAGTAATAGTACTTATAATTGTACCCCATTCCTCCATTCACTACTAACCAAAGGTGAGAAATCCTGAACCCCAAACCGATCACCTTTCTTTTGCAGCAGGCTTGCCTCCGCGAGCCGAAGCGCCTAAACCCTGAACCGAGACTGTTCGAACCCCCAGCAGCAAAAGTCTAACCGAAACCGTCCAAACCCCCAATCCCTAAAAAACAAAACCCCAAATGAAGGTACGTCTAATTTTCCGAAACTCTAAACCCTAAACCCTTTACAGAACCCTTATAGATCCCTTTAAAGCACCCGAAAAGGATCCCTGTAAAGGTACCCCCTAATTTTCGAAAACTCCCAAAACCCTAAACCCTAAACCCTAAACCCCTAAACCCTAAACCCCTAAACCCTAAACCCCTAAACCCTAAACCCCTAAACCCTAAACCCCTAAACCCCCCTATTTTTCCAAAACTTCCACTCTACACCCTAAACCCTTTACAGAACCCTTATAGATCCCTTTAAAGGAACCCTTAAAGGATCCCTTTTAAGGTGCCCCCTAATTTTCGAAGACTCCCAAATTTGCAAACCCTGAGAACACCGGGGTGCTAGCCTTGGCACGGGCCATCTTTTGTTGCAACCTTTCGGATTTAGGGCAGGGATTTAGGGTTTAGGGTTTAGGGGTTTTTCGGATTTATAAATCATACTAGGGATCCTATTATAGTTTAAGGAATATTCCTTAATTAAGGGATATTGTTGCAACCTTTCGGGTTTGGGAGTTTCCGAAAAATGGGGGGGTTTAGGGGTTTAGGGGTTTAGGGTTTAAGGGTTTAGGGTTTAGGGTTTTGGGAGTTTCCGAAAAATGGGGGACCCTAATATAGTACCCTAAATAGTAGGATCCTTATTATAAGGATATTTAAATCATATTAGGGATCCTATTATAATTTAAGGAATATTCCTTAATTAAGGGATATTGTTGCAACCTTTCGGATTTAGGGCAGGGATTTAAGGTCCGGGTTTAGTTTAGGGTTTAGGGTCCGGGTTTAGTTTGGGTTTTTTGGGGGTTTGGGTTTAGGGTTTAGGGTGCGGGTTTAGTTTGGGTGTATGGTATGGGGTTTAGTTTTGGTTTAGGGTTTCGGGTCCCGGTTTAATTTGGGTTTAGGGTTTAGGGTTTAATTTGGGTTTAGGGTGTTAGGGTCTGGACCCAAGGAAGAGCAACTCACGACCCCTATATAAGACAGGTTTGCTGTTTTTTCGACCCCAGCCTGTTGACCTACGGCTGTTAGCACGCTTGAGACTTCCCAGTCCCAACTACCATAGGGACCTTAATAATTTCAATAGGGTTTTGGGGCCCATTGTGCTATATATAGCTTTAAATAAGGCCCTTTTCTACGAGCTCCGGCAAGAGCAAGAAACGATGTGGAAAGGAACCCCAAGCGACCCATTCCTATGCCTGTCGCGGTGCCCAGAGAGCCCAATACCCCTTGATTAAGGAGTATCAATAGGGGCTTCATATTATGATTTAAGCCATTTTCGGGGTATTGGGCTCTCTGGGTGATGCCGAGGATCCCGAGACCATGAAAAGGCGGGGCGGGGTGGGTGGGACGGAAGGTTAGGCCACTGACGCGGTGACGTGGCACCATGAACAGAGTTCGGCTTTGCAAGACCGCCTACCGTGTAAGTGTAAAGGGGCTTCCCCGGATACTGACGCCATGCAAGTAAGGCACGGGACCCTAGGTATAGCCATAATATAGCCATTATATTCCCGTGATGTAGCCCATTATAGGGTAGGGGTCCCCATTAAGGGTCCCTCCTTTTCCCCTTTGATCCATCAACTACAGCAAACTCTGATATAAATCACTGCAAACCGGGTAAACGATATTGGGCCACTGAAACTCCCAGAGAGCCCAGTACCCCTTAATTAAGGAATATTGTGTAAATCATATTAGGGATCCTATTATAATTTAAGGAAGTTCCTTAATTAAGGGATATTGGGGCCTCTGAGACTTCTGAGTAGAGACAGAAAGTCACCAAGGCTCCGGCAAACCTGGGACTAGTCACGATGCGGGTCGGAATAAATCCGAATAGTGCCCAGAATATAATATAGGAGCCTCAATAATTACCAATACTACTTCGGGGTTCCTTCTTCTAACTCGAGTATAATGGGCCCCAAAACCCTATTCTAATCATTCAGGCCGCTATACCATAAACCCCGATTCTTGATCCCGTATAGCAACCCTTTAAAGAGCCCGTAGAGGAACCTTACTCTAATTATCAGTGCCCAAAAGACTTCAAATCCCCAGAGAACCCAATACCACTTCATTAAGGAGTATAGCTTAAATCATAATATGAAGCCCCTACCTTAGCCTACCAAACCCTACCTTTTTGTAGGTTCTTATTACAAACCCTAATATGGAGTTTATAGGGACCCTACAACAAAATAGGGTTTGGGCTAAGGTACTGACTTAAGGTATATTCCTTAATTAAGGGGTATTGGGCTCTCTGGGTCCTTTTGCAGCTGGGCCCCTCGTGTCCTCCAGTGAGTCTGCAGCTCAGTGCCGTGGCTGAGATTCCGGGGGCTTGGGGTTTAGGGGTTTAGGGTTTAGGGGTTTAAGGGTTTAGGATCTAGGAGTTTAGGGTTTAGGGGTTTAGGGTTTAAGGGTTTAGGGTTTAGGGTACCCTGAAACCCTAACCTAAACCCGGAAGCCCGAAAGCCGGCAGCCGGATGCCGCGCCTCGACGAAAATCCCAAACTTCTGGATGTTGTAGACTTTCCCCGTGATCCACTGGCCCCTGCGATCGGTGGCTGTGTGGTTCCACAAGGGTCCCTGCCCAGAGAGCACAATACCCTTTAATTAAGGAATATGGCTTAAATCATAGTATGAAGCCCCTAATGATTTAAGGGTTTACTCCTTAATTAAGGGGTATTGGGCTCTCTGGGTGTAAGAAGGGGTTCTCGAAGACTCTTTCAAAGCATTGTTTGAAAGCTTTTGGGGACTGTTGCTGCATGAATTGGGCTTTAGGACTTTCGGGGGGTAGGGCTTTCCGGTTAGATATAGGGAAAGATTAGAACAGGTATTTTTTGGGTGGCTGCTGTAGCCCAACTAGAAGACTACAGGCTAAGGAATAATATTGGTAATTGCTCAGGCTTCTACATGAAACATACGGGGTTCTTGCATGAAATACTGGGACAAAGTTTGGACCTGTTCTTGTCGTATAGTATTATGATTACGGGCACCCTTCCCAGGTTGCAAGTGAAGGTTCGGGAACCCCAAAAGACCCTGAGAAAAAGAACAAACAAACAATACCACCGACTCAGCTACCTGCCCATACCCTCCATTGCCTTGTCTTTGTTGAAACCTCTTGAACTCTTTGCCGTATTAAAGCATGCGCACCTTGCAAAAGCCTTTCTTGCTAAATCCCACACTACTAGTATCATGAAATCCAGAATATGACACTTGACAAGAATCGAAGTCATGAGGCTCCAGCACCTAAACCCATAACGCTCTTTTTTGAAGCCAAGGACCTGTCCTTCTTGCTCCACCATTAAGCCCTGAACCCTGAACCCTTTAACCCCGGACCCCTAAACCCTGAGAGGAAGGGTTTAGGGGTTTAGGGGTTTAGGAGTTAGGGTCCGGACCCCTAGGCCCTGTTAGGGGCTTAGGGTTTAGGGTCTGGGTCCTTAGCTGTAAACGAAACCCAAAAGCCTCTCCAGGTTTCGGTGAGTCGGCTTCTTCTCCCAAGCAAGCTCAAGGCGATCTCCTTCACACTGATTCGGTGCAAGATGGAGGTGCGAATCACGAGAAATACGATTGCCCCGCAGCCCTGTGGCATTATAGCAGAAGAAGCACCCTCGGAGAGGCCTATGCACGTCAGCTCGGCTCCTTCGTGAATGCCCAACACCCTTGTCCGAACCTTGTCGCAGACTTTGGCGACCTGCGAGAAAAACAAGAAATATAGTAGCCTTAACAATTAGAATATGGTTTTGGTTCCCGTTTTATTACACGTATAACAAGGAACCCGAGAAAAATATGGGTCGGTAAGTATTTAGACTCTATAGAAGAAGCCTTTCGGGGTGTTCGGCTAAACGTTCCTCGTGAGGGTTCTATGCGGGTTCTACAAAACGCAAGTGTGCAGGGCTTGAAAGGGTGTAGGGCCTGCGCAACCACCTGTTAAGGCTACATCAAGTCAAGGCATCAGAAAAGGTTTCTATCATGGTTCGTTAGCAGGTTCTGTAAGGGTTCAGTAGGGCCTACTATAGGGGCTTAGGGCCTGACTAAGTAGACGACATGTTTTGAGTCATAAATCTTCAACGCGGATTGATACGACTAAGTATTCAAGCTCCCATATTGCGGAAGGCTTCTTCAAGGCTCGAGTGATGTTTGCTGTTCGAGCAATCTCGTCGATCGTGGCCATGATCTTGCTCACGCAATGCCTAATTCTCAGAGAAGCTTGATCTTTTGGGATTATCTAGGAACTATACTAACCGAGAAGGCTTGTAAGTTGCTGTTACCCTTAGGGTTTAGGTTAAAGGTAACGATATCGAAGTGGAAGCCCGCCTCACCCTTCACGAAATTAACCCAAACCTGTGGCATGGGCCTTTGCCTCGAATTAGGGTTTCGGGTTTGGGGTCACAAAACAATCCTCAAAAGGAGATCTACCTGGTCAGGACCCCCAAAGAAGACCCTAAACATACTAGCCATCCAGAGAAACTTTGTGAGACCCTACTGGAACAAAACGCCGATAGAAGCCCACAGAAACCCTGTAAGGTCAGATACCCTATACCCTGAACCCTTAAACCCTAAACCCTATAAGCTCCTTTACAGCCACTGTAAGACAGCACAAAAACTCGCGAAAGCTTGACCTCGTAGGCCGATTTCACGAATGTGGGCAGCTTGGAGATATGCAGAAAACCTTCACAGGGTTTCGACTCACACTCGCACCTGTGAAGGGGTCTAGGCTTGAGGGTCTAGAGTGATTTAGTACGGTCTGGGTTTGGGGTTTAAGGTTTTGTGTTTAGGGTCTAAGGTTCAGGGGTCTAGGGCCTTTCTTTTAAGCACCCTTTTGGGTTTAGGGTCCCAGCTTTCTTGTTGGGCAACAGGGGGTGTAGGACCTCGTGATACTTAGGTGTCGTTTCGAAAAACGCTAGTTTTTTTGGGGGACTGTCTTGGATTAAGCGGCTTCATTTTCATGCCTCTACATTGCTTTGAGTCCTAAACCCTAAACCCTAAAAAAAATCAAAACCCTAGATAGTTTGGGATGGCTTCGAACCGAGTCGAGACTTGGGGTTCAAGGTGTAAGGCCTTGCTTAGGGTTTTGGGGTTGAGGGGCGGATGACTCTCTTGTTCAACAACCGGGCCCCCAAAAGTTCATACTTTCTAAGATAGAGCTCATATGTAACCAAACAGTTTCAAGTTACCCCGTTCACTATGTAAGATGATTAGAGAATTCGAACGGGTTAGTTCCAAATTACAGGTGGCGAACAAATCGGAACAACCTGGCTTGATCTGAATTGCCCAAACTGTCTGCGAAGTCTTTCTAAGTTCTTCGAACCCTTTTGACATGAACTTAAACCCCACTGCATAACCCGTAACCCTGAACCCTGCCAACTGGCGGCGCCTTCGTGACCACGTCCGCCACGGGCATCGCCCAGGATGACGTGAAAGCCTTCTTGACGCACGTAGCTGACGATACCGTCGTAGGAGACGCCCACCTTGCGGTAAGTCAAACATGCGCATGGCGATCGCCGCCGCAGGTTGGTTCGTGTGGTGATGTGAAAAAACCCAAACCCCCATAACCCCTAATTACACATGAAACCCTGTTGAACTAAGTGCAAAACCCCAAGACCTCCCGACATCAGCCTTGCACAAGGACCCTGAAAATTTCACAACAATCAGTAGAACGCTAATTACACAATAAGAACCCACATGCAAGTCATGCAAACCCTTTTAAATCTTAAAAGCCTAAACCCCCACAAGACAACTTCAGCCAACCCCAGGCTTTTCTTTTCCTACTCACTTGGAGGTTCATGGGTGTACGTGGGATCATTAGCAAGGTAACTCGACTTACAATCCATATATATATAATACCATATGAGGAGACTTATAACCCCACCTATAGCAACCCTAAACCCTAGAACCCTAAATCCCTATAGAACCCTTTAAAAGGACCCATAAAGGAACCCTTACAACCACCCGCGAACTTCCAATCCGGCCTTGACATCATCAGCGACGTTGCCGGGTGGTGGGTTGGGTCGAAGTCTGGTTCTGGAAAGCGCCAGGGACAGGTTAAGCCGTGACCTCGTGCCCAGAGATCCCAATACCCCTCACTTGTAAGGAATATACCTTAAACTAAAGGGGCCTTATTATTCTGGTTTAAAGTATATTCCGTAATTAAGAAGTATTGGGGTCTCAAGGTGCTTGTTTTTGTGCAGGCGCATTTGGAGTAAGAGCTTAGCGCTGTAAGGTTTTGGAGTTTAAGATGGAGGACCCCCATGATGGTTTCTATGAAAGCTTCGGGGAGTGCTTTCAAAGGCTTGACGAAGCTACTAATAGGTTTCAGTGGGGTTGCGTCGTTCGAGCTTCCGGGCCGGTTTTCGAAGCTGCTTTCTGTCTTTCTGTTTTTAAGGTTTCGGGATTACTACACCGCCTTTCAGAACCCTAATGAAAAAGAAAGACATGTGTTTAATGTTCTCTTGGGTTCTATACAAAAGAAAATATAAAAAAAAACCCTGCGGAGACTATACATTGGAGTCTAAGGTTTAGGGTTTAAGCATATATACTTGTTGGTGCAAGCGATCTCATTCGCTGCTCTTGCTTCTGTCTCGCCTACTACCAAACTGCATTGCCCATCTACATAACATAGTCAAAGTATCATAGGACGTGCAAAGCGCCAATTTCTGCGCAAATGCGCAGCTTCTCGCACCGTGAAAAATCACCCATTTCAAAAAGCTGCCTAGTTTCAACACTCCATGACAAAATGAAGCTGACCGAAGTCCCAAAAAAAACAAGACTCTGTAAGAATGGCAGCCTAGCTTGAGTATCGGGGCGCCAGGGCTTTAGCTCTACAGTAAAGCCCATAACGTTGGAAACCGGATTACGACCAAATACGGTTGATGATATAAATCGTGCATTATCCATAATGAGGAATATACCATATTCCCCATAGATTAGGGTCCTTAAGGTAATGCAGGATTTATATCATCAACAGTAGTGCTGGGATTCCCTATACATTTATTCCTAAGCATTGAAGCTATGGGGTTTCCAACTTTTGGGGCTTCTACTATAGAACCCACAAGCCACATATCGCTCATTAAGGCCCCTTCATCCCTAAATCCCTTAGAGTAACAACCCTTTTCGAACCCTTTTAAAGGAACCTTATTGGAATTAAACCTATGGTAGTTTAAGGTAAGGGGACACCCCTACATCCCTAAATCTCTTATGGTAACCATGGCTTCCAACTTTTGGGCTTCTACTGTACCAGCCTTGGGCTTATTTTTGTCACTCGCTTGGCCTTATCTGGGTTGTCCGGCTGATGATATAAATCCTGCATGACCCATAATAAGGAATGTACCATAATTCCCATAGTGTAGAGTCCCTAAGGTAATGCAGGATTTATATCATCAACCGTAGTTTTGGAGCCTCGAAGGGCGTTTATGAACAGATACCTTTCTGGCAACCCCATGGGCAGTGTTGGAGATTTGAAAAGCATGTGTGGGCACATACGGGAATTTCCGAGAATTGGGGGGGTACCGCATTTTGGGGTCCTGACAATAAGGATCCTACTATTTAGGGTACTGTATTAGGGTCCCTTATGTTCGGAAACTCCCATACTTTTATAGGAACCACAGGGAAATGAGAAGGGTTTCCGAAACCTGGGCTCAAGATGCACATATCGGTTTGAGCATTGGGGTTGAACTCGACAGCGTAGAGCGTTGAGAGACTCAGCTTTCCGCAGGATGAAAAGGTTGAAGGTTTTAGGATTGGCTGGAGAAATTTTGTGGCGATTTGGTTTTGGCATCTGTGGGTAAGTGTTCTTGTTTTGGCGGTGTGGGATCGAGGGAGTGAGCCAGGGAGAGGGAGGGAGGGACGCAGGGAGGGAGTGAGGGAGGCAGGGGAGGGAAGGGAGCGCAAAAGCCCCTAAAAAACATGTGGTCCGTAGTCGTGAACCTGGCACAGTATGCTCGAATGACGGTCAAGGCGATGGTTATGTGCAAGACTCATACATAGATAATGATCGTCTGAAGCACCAGTCACAACGCTTTGACATTCCCTCCTAGTTCGCGAAGTTGGACAGAAGCCCTGCACATCATGTTTCACGCGCAAGGAGATGAGAGGTGTGGACGGTGTGCACGACGGATATACCGCATCTATGTTACATAGTGGTCTATGCGTTCTTTATTGCGCACAGCTACATACCAAAACCAAAAAGAAACATGTATATATACATATATACATAGACATAGTTACTTATGTACATGGGCAGTTGTAATACGAGTAGTCAGAGTAACGTTATTGAGTCCAAGGAGTATTGCCAGGAATAATACTGTAACATACTGTAATGGTCCTTCCTTCCTTCCTTCTCCTCCTTTCTTCCTTCCCTCCCTCTCTCCCTCCTTCCTTACTTCCTTCTCTTCCTTTCTTACTTCCTTTTGTCCTTCCTTCGAGAGGGAAGGACGAGCCTGGCCCCCTCTCAAAAACACACAAGCGCAAAACAACATAGTTCCTACAAACAAAGGCCCTCAATTACGATTTCGAGTTATGGGGTTGGAGTTTGTGAACACGTTTGAGAATCATGGTTGGCAGCACCTCCAAAACCCAAGGTTCAGGACATCATGGTCGGATTGATGCACTGAGTGGCGGCCGATGTTTTCGTGCGATTTCGATGTTGGAGTGAACCCCGAACGAAAAAAAACATATCGCCGTCATTGCAGATGAAGGACGCCGTGTCCTTTGATAGCAGCGGCGTGATTTGCCGCAACGGCACGGCTTCACCTCGGCGGGCATGCACTGTTGCTCTCTTGCGTGCACACGCAAAACGGGTGTCTAAATGCGTGAAATGCTGAACCGCTACTGCGAATCAAACGTGAAACCTCCTTGAACCGTGACCTCGAACCTGCAACCTCGTGCAACAAAGCTTCCGGAGAACTCGATGCCAGCCACAATAGCATCGACCTGTTCTTCGGGAAGCTGAGCTCATGAGTTGTAGATTGCCAAAATCCACAAGTGGCGCGACATAGTGTACTAGGCTTTGGGTTTAGGGGAGGGGTTTCAAGCCTTGGCATTGGAACATGGGTTGTGTTTCGGCGCTCAAATCGGACTATCGTCAATTGAATGAAACTACCACTAGTCAGCGAAGAGAAAATCCCATGCACCAAACACAATCCAGCAAGCATCTGATGTCACAGACTGGGGTCTTGGAATACAAACACTTCCCCGCGCCACATCCAAGGAATTGCATGGGCACCACACATTGCATTCAACAACAGAGCTCTCTCAAGCACTATATGGATCATTTTCCAAACACAACAACCTGCAAGTCGATCTGGATGGGCCTCATCACCGACCTCGAACAGCTCGCGTGGGTCGTCCACAAAGTCCTCATGCAGAACGGAGATGTGAGCGAAACCGTCGACCTCTGCGCCGACGTCGATGGCAACCAAATCGCCTGTGTCTCATTTCGGCGCAGACAAAACATTCTTCCAAATCCGCACCGAAAATACTTGTTCGGTCCAAGATACCTTCATCGTTGAAAGCTCGCACCATACCCTTCCTCATCAGCACATCATTTCATTTTGTTTCGTGCTTGTAAAGGAAACGACCATGTGCGAGTTTCACAACTCGCAACAGCAGGTTGAGTATTGCCTGCGCATTGAGCATGTCTGAGCTGAGCGGCAGCTTCTGTCCCAAAAACAGGTCCTGCACGGGAGTACGGGCCAATGCATCCTTAGCAACGGGAGTGGTGCTGCGGCCCATGATCGGTGTTTGTCAGAATGCAATCGCTAATGCTAAACTGTAGTTGCGGGATCATCTCGAACGAAAACTCGGAAACAAACGGAAATTGGTTTACTTGCATAAAGCACCGCTCAAGCCAATTGCATATGCCAAGCCACCGTATGGTCTGCGAAAGGCGCTTCCAACATCTCGTTCGAAATGGTCGAATCCTCGCGGACGTTGGGGCAAACGATGTGGTGGGGTTGGTTCGGATTCCGAGAAACCAGAAGCCTCGGCTTGCCAGCCGCGGCAGGGTTTCCAGGTAAGAATGTCTGCACCAGGATGACGGCGGCACAAATCTTCGCCGTTTGGAGCCTGCATGTCTTCGACGGATATAGGTTGACATGCAACAACCATTTTGTTGCTCTTTCGTCTCTGGGGAAAGCGTTGTTGTTAATTCGTCTGGATGAAATTTACGGATTGTCCAATGTTGCACTATTGCTTCGTTTGAGTCATTCAGCGCAGACAGCAGAACATCCAGCGTTGACGAAACACCTCCGAAGAAATTGTGTTTGAACAGTTTCGGCGAATATATCATGGCACCGTGCAATGAAAACACAATTTCGGCAAGTGCAACCCTGAGCCAAAACATTGACGGCACCCGTGCATTGTAGCGATGCAACAGCGTGCCATAATCTGCCGAAGGTGGCCTGTGTTCTGCTCCACGCGTACGCAGCCGTTCCACTGAATTGCGCTCAGGGTCGACTGGGCGCTGCCGACCGGTGCGTGGCCGCCAGTTGGGTCACTTGGCTCCGCAATGAGCAGCTCGAGACGCAAGCGGGCGAAGCGATACTCCCCACATGTCCCCATACACCACGAGCCCAAAATCGTGCAAGCTTCTTGCACACTACAACGGCACAGCCAGCGGGAGCGTCTGCGAAGAAGCATGGCTCGGTCCTTTTTTTTTGGTTTCTACTCGGTACTCTTTTTCCGGGCGAACTAGCACGCAGGCCTGGCTGGTTTTGGCTCAGCCCGCCCATGCTGAGAGGGGAGCCCGGATCGACTGAGGTCGCAGAAAAACATTTCACCATATCCTCCGGCCAGCAACGGGGTGCTGCGCAACACAGCAGCGACAGCCATGCTGACTGCAGGTGAGGAACCTGTGGCAGCTGCTGCGACGAGTGGGGTTGCATGAGCTTCGTGGCGATGAACCCGGCTTCCGATGAGGCCGCCTTTCGGTACGTAAATGCACCTGGATCTTTGTATGGTGTGCATGGACTTTCCGAATATGTGGGCGAACTGGGTTTCGGTTGATCGTGTGACATTCATGACGATGCATCCGTTGGTCGCATCAGCATCAAGCAAGGAGGAAGTAAAAAAAAAAAAAAACAGCGAATTGAGGAAAAAATCCTTCGCTCGAACTGGTCCGCATTGAAAGCATCTCATGACTGCCGGACGGAGAAGGCAAACGTGGCTCCGTTATCCGGCAGGTGTAGGCGGCAGCCTGTGCCCCAAAGGCGGCCTGACCGACAAGGAGCTGCGCAAGGTGGTCCCCTGAAGAGTCGCGCAATGCTGTTGCAGCTGCCAAGCAGCGGCGGCAGCACACAGAAGTCGTATGAAATCAAGGGCAGGGGCAAGCACAGCCGCAGAAGAAGCAACGTGCGGAAAAACGGGGAATCGGTGAACATCTGAGGATATACTGTTATGGTACTGTCGTGAACGTGCGCGGGGCCTGACTGCGACTCCAACATGCAAAGCCGAATGCATCAAGCTCACGGCGGGTGGCACCGTGGCGGGTGTCATCAACTGCGGGGGATGTTCGCATGGCAAGTCAACGGGTTTGTCGTCAATCTGGGCAGGGATCGCTGCTGTGAGCGCATCAGCCCACGCGAGAGCATCGAGGCGTGAGGCGAGTATGCGCGGGTTTGTGAAGATGCACGGGTACGCACGAATATGTGCAAACTATGGGCGAATATCGTTGGGTTGGCGTTAAATATCCCTACACAGCGTGAATCGTTTACTATCTTTCGAATGATATATACTTGTGATGTTTTAGAATTGCAGGTTATGTATGACAACGTAGAAACAAACACTTTTTTTTCCGGACCTTTTTGCTACTGCACGTGAAAGAGGTCCAGGTCCCTGTGCCATCTGCAGCCTACGGCGGTAACTGGCGACTCACGCACGGGCAGGGAGGCGGCTGGGCTCAGGAGCCTCCTGCCAGCGAGAGTCAGCAAGGAGCTCGTGCAAAGCTGGTGGCGGGCCAGCAGCACCAAGCTCAGACTGGAGGGGAAGCTCAAGGAAAGTGGCAGCGAGTGCACGTTTCGCCGCAACGGTGATGAGTCCACTTTTGCATCCAGGACTCTTTGCAATCAGCCGGGAAAATGCACAAGACAGCGCGTAAACCCTCCAGACTCATCAGTCCAGCGGAGAACCCATGCGGTTTGGGCGGGGCACGTGCGGCCCGCGCCCGGGCGAGGAGGTTCGTCAGCCCAGCGTCCGCCCACCCCAAGGCGACCGCGTCGGCTGCGGTCGATCTCGGGGGTACGTCTGCCTGCGTTTGCGCCGCGCAGCGCCGCGGACGGCCCAACCCGGGTGGTG